TTTTATCAAACTTTGAAGCAAATTCTGTCGTTTTTATGGACAATGCGTCATACCACAGTCGACGGTTGGAGCCATCACCAACGACTGCCTGGCGAAAAGATGAAATAATCAACTGGCTCTCTGCTAATATAATAAAAAAATATACCATTCGATGACAACATGTTTTAAAATGGAGGAGGTGAAGTGCTTGTTAGCTACTGCCATTCAAAATATCACACCTGAATCTTGGAAAAATTGTATAAGACACACTATAAAAGAAGAAGATAGAATGTGGGACTTAGAATTATCAATGTAAATATTCGTGATCTCGATAGCTCTTCATCAGCCGACGAGTATCTTCATACGATGATTAATTAATTTTTGTAAAATTATGGAATTTGAAAGTCGTTTTTTGAGAATTGTTTTTTTTTTGTGATAAGAAGTATTCACTTTTAAAGTTAAATATAAGTCTCATATCATAATATATTAAGATTCATTTTTAAAATTCACTGCAATAGTGTAAACGATACGCTACTGAATGCTGCGCTATGAAATCAATGAGCAATTTATCTCTCTTTATATTATGACAACGTTGATCTACTATTCCTTTCTACCGGTCCTAGAATACGATGTTGTCATGTATGACTTTTACAAAGAATATTATCGTACTTCAGATGTTTTCTATATATAAATATTGTATATAAACATCTTATACATACATATTGATGTTATTAAATACATTTTATTAGATACCGTAACAAAAACAAAACAATTATTAATATGATAATTTTGCTGGATGTCAATGATTAAATTATAAATTGCTAGAATATCTATCATCACAAACTGGCAACGATGTTGTCGTATTACCGCATTAACAGTTCGGAGAATTTACTGCCTACAAATTTGATTCTCAAGTATAGTTATATAGTAGTTAACTTTAACGAAAATACAAGCTGAAGATAGCTGCAAATGTCAACCATGAAACAAAATATTTTTGACAGTGTTGGCATGTTTTTATAATATAAGTTGTATGCTATAAATATAAAATCACAGACACAGTAAAATCGCAAAGGACAGCCATTTTAATGTTACGGTTCTGCCTTCCGCATTGATCGGAATATAGAATTACATTTTTTGTTGTAACAACATTTTAAAATAATGCAGTAAACACGATCCTATTTCTTGAGGTCCTCGTGATGCTTGTGTCTCGTTCCAAACATACATATTAGCATTATTAGTAGCGAACTTATGGACTCCTAAGACGTAACTCCACAACTGGTATTTACAGTAAGAAATTCCAGTGCTGATAACTGGTGTGAGCAACGTTCGCATTAAGTCAAACGCAATCACTGTAATTTCTTCAGGATACTGTTTTGCATACTCTGCATCTTGTTTCATACCACATCTAGCATGGTCTGCTTTTCGTTGGTGAACCTCTAGTGTTACTTCAAATGTGTACACCGTGTACCACAGCACATCACCAAGCGCAAAGAGATAATACGATTAAAAAGAAAGGGACTGCACTACACAGTCTAATTTCCACAACACAAACATCTATTTACTGGAAGGTTAGATTGTGTGATACGTACCCTTGATTAGCAGTTCTATCCTACAAAGATGATGGTTAGCCCACTCTTGCATTCTTTTACGTATTTATATATTGAACATTTTAGTATATTCCACAACTTCATGGGTTAGCCCATTCGTGTTTTCAAATTTTTATTATTTTCTGTAATGCAAAATCACCTTACTGGAGAGATTTATATTAAAAAAATCCACAAGGAAAACAATTCCTGTAGCTGGCCACGTATCACAAAAAAGAGGTTAGTCTTCGTAAATGGGTATATTTATTTAAAAACCCTTAAAAGGGCTACATAAAAAAAACAAACGTTTTCGGACTAAACAGTCCATCATCAGGTTTACATTTTAAAATTGCTAGGTTAAAATGCCCGAGCCACCAAAATACCTGGGTAAAAACCCTTTAAATTACATATAGTTGTAAAAGATTATACATCATGTTGTAAAAAAACTGTGATGTTCAGGATTAAATTAAATATGACTTCAGGTAACATACATGGCTGAAGTGAGTTCCAGAACCGGAGAGTAAACCTCTTCACACAGAGAGTTACCAGCTGTTCTCCTTGTGAAGAGGTTTACTCTTCGGCTCTGGAACTCACTTCAGCCATGTATGTTACCTGAAGTCATATTTAATTTAATACTGAACATCACAGTTTTTTTTTACATGATGTATAATCTTTTACAACTATATGTAATTTAAAGGGTTTTTACCCAGGTATTTTGGTGGCTCAGGCATTTTAACCAGCAATTTTAAAATTTAAACCTGATGACGGACTGGTTAGTCCGAAAACGTTTGTTTTTTTGATGTAGCCCTTTTAAGGGTTTTTAAATAAATATACCCATTTACGAAGATTTATATTATAAAATAGTAAATGTTGGTTACACCGGATTTGCTTTAAAACTTTAGGTCGTTAGAAGTAATTGCAATCTATAACTCAATTATCAACAAAATGTTGGTTAGCCTACTCTTGCTCTCATAGCCTCATATATCTGTTATTTCTTTGCGCACTAAAGAATTGTTTAAGAGGAATAAAAATATAGGGAGAATAAATAAAACTTCAATATATCCAAATAATAATTATTTACCCTTAGAAATACATAACTGATGAACTATTTAGAATAGAAATATTAGAGAACTACAAGAGTAGCTTTAAGTATAATATACAAATGGTCGCTGACAATGTGACAAAGATGTTAACAGTAGAAAACTTATAAAAAAAAGTTACAAGTGTATAAAATTCCAAATGCAGCCATTCAATAATATAAAAGTTGTCGGTTTTATTTCTGGCCTTTTTTAAATCAATTTTAAGCATCACTAAGAAACGACATTTAAACCATCATTAACTAATTCATGGATATATACGTTCAAAACCTTAAATTTACTAATCAAACAAACATTGTAATTTCTTAGTGATTTTAAATATCTCATTTGTTCCCCATTTGTAGAAAAAATGGACTTCCTTAACCATAAAACTCAATGTTACTTACAATGCTACGTGTAAAATATCATCCAAAATTATCTACTCTACAAAAAGGCAACGTGGTATACACTTATATACACAAACTCGCAAAGTTGCAAATAAAACAGCAACGAAGAATTTATTCTTTTTGACAATTATTATTAATTTGCAACTTTGTTCATATAAAAACAAATTACATGTTTGAAAAACTGGTATTTACACGGATAAGAAGTCATTGAGCAACAGTAATTCAAGTGTTTCATAAAAAATATTCTATGTCGTTGTTTATACTGATAGTATAAACATTTTGACATCAAATTGGTCGCTGGAGAGAGAAGGAGGCGAGTTATACTTTGGGATAGCTTTGTGTTTCTGCAGTGGGGACGTAAAAAATTAGAATCTACGTAAGTATTATTGTTTAGGTACTCCTTTGACTGTGAATGATAAATATAATTCAAGTAATTCACTACAATTACTGCTTTTGTTGTTATTCAAAATGTTTTCTCGTCCCCTTTTTTAGAAACTATTTTTTATGAAACACTTATTGCACTTTATAAAAGTCTTACAATGCAACACAAATTGTTTTAAATTATTTCATTTTATATCAAATAATTTTTCGGGATGATTCAGTGTGAATTCGCAACAAATCAATTTTTTTATGATTTTGAAATTGTGTAGAATTAAAAAAATACAATAGACCTAAAATTTTGTTAACTGTTGCTCAATTATTTTAGGAAGCACCAGGCCAAGAAGGAACAGTGTAAAAATATAGTATCTCATCATTGCATATTGCGATTAAAACTCGTTGATAGTTCTAGATAATAGAAAAATAAATTTTAAAAGTTTACAGTTTTAAAAAGACTTACACAAATTATTAAAATCCATTTTTTGTGTAGTTAGAGCGTATCTCGTGCAGATCTTTTTATGAAATTAACCTCCATTTGACAGATGACATAAATCCATAAATTGGAAATTGTGGAAATTGAACAAATAAATGTTTTAAATCCACAATCATATACTGCTTTATTATAAAGGATAGCATATTATGTCGCGCTATCTATTCTGTTAATGTTTTTAGAATATTTTCTTCAAAAGTTTCATATGTCTGACTTGGTAGGTAATGACTAAAAACGGGCTATAGATATATAGCAAATCTTTGAAAAATTATATTTTAACGCGCATGTTGATGTAATAGATGTTTAATAATTTGTTTAAATCTGTGAAGACAAGGAAGATTTTTTTAAAGTATGTTAAACAAGGTTTTGATTTTTTTGATCACCGAATGGCACACTAACATTAAAAACAGAAAACTACTCAATATTGGAATGCGTCCTTGAATAAGAAAATTTTGAATAAAAATTATTAGTCCAGAGGTAGAAATGAAAAAGATGGTAGATGAAAAATTGTAGCATATATATATATATATATATATATATATATATATATATATATATATATATATATATATATATATATATATATATATATTCTTGTGTGAAGTCAGAAGCTACAAGCCTTCAGTGTACCTTGCTCGGTATCTGGACTAATTGCAGATCTGGAGTGTTTTATATATTTTTTTTATCAGTTCAGCTCGGATCCGTTTTATGTGAGGATCCGATTTTCAAATTGACCCAAAATTGTTGTTAGTTATCACAAAAACAATGGAAAACAATTTTCGTATAACATTAGTTAAATATATATAAAAAGCAAAATAATCTAACAAAGCAAAAAGAAGTTAACTTCTAAGGCCACTTAACTGAGCCAATAGGGCTCTAATACATATCAAAAAGAAAATATAAGAATAATACTTAACGTGTAAGTAATAACTGAACCGAAAAACTTAAAAATATTTTTTTAAAAGTATTTTGAAAAAATGATCATCTCGCGTTGAGCATTTAAAGGTTCTTTAGTAATATTGGTTTTTTTTAACTCGAAATAATAGGTAGGACTCCTAGATTGTTTGATATGAAGGATAAAAACAATTTACATATTTTCGAATTGGTCAACTCTGCGCTTGGTGTTACCCTTGCGGATTTCACGGAGAGTCTTGTATTTGTCTCTTCCTTGACGAACATTTTCTCTGTGGATTTTGTCCATGGCAGTTTCCTTGGTTTCGTCGCGAGATTGAGCGAGGTCTTTCTTCAAAGCCTAAAAAGATATAGAAAGATAAGTACACATAAACTTCTTTTTAACGTTTTGGTATTTGATTGTATCAAACAAGATAATATGTGAGTGTTTACTAAATCTGTGAGACAGTCAAATAGTTGGATTATTTATTAGCCTAAAAAAGATATATGTGATGTTTTTAATATAAATATAATATACTATTATATGAAATCGATTTAATAAAAATTGTTAACCCCGTCATAGTGTTATGTGTTAAACTTGTGTCTTGATCAAGCTGCACTAAGTCTAGAGTCTCCTACGCAGAATAAATAGAAGAAAGAGACAAAATGCTTGACTTTCGCCCCTTTATAAATGCATATGTAAGGTGGATCGCTATAGAAAGTGCCACAGGATATCAAAGGATCATTATCTAAAACCCATCAATCCTGACTGAACATGAGGAGATTCGGATAATACAATCAATAAAAATGCTCACAGACACTAGGGATACAAAACAAGATTTCAAACTCTCAAGGAATGCCATACCTTATATTGGACCACGAACACACGAAGGATTAGTATGGTCCTTAGACTATCAATTAGAAATACACCACCTTAAAATTTTAATTTAGGGTGTATTTACATACATATTATGAAATATTTAATTTGAGGTGTATTTCCATTAAATGATTACATAATTACGACAATATATTTTTGTGTACTAATGTGATGTCGTAGCCTCTTCGAGAACATTTATATAGGAAATAGAAAGAAATAGAATCCTACGATTATCCTTGTAAGGTCGTCGATAAACGATCAACGTGTCAGTTGTTTACAACAAAAAGAAACGTAGTAAAATTTATCTAAATATATAAATATACTTCTACATGATCTTTAGCTATTACTTAAATTATAAAAAACTGTAACGTATTTATTTATACCGTATTACGTAACTATTTAGATGTACCAGAAAAATATAGAGAATCTTTTGTAGAGACTTAAATCGTCTTTAATACTAATTTTTCTTTGATTTTTCAAAGAGCTTGTGGAAATAAAATTGGATTTCGTTAGGAATTGATAAGTAAGGTCTCCACAAAAATTCAGCTTTTATAAAACTATATTACTAATCATGTAACAAATTATTTAATGACTGGATTAATGAGCTCAAGCTTGTTAGAAACATGCAAATAGCAAAGGATTAAGTATGGGAAACCAACGTTTCTTTTATTCTACTTTGTGACACTAGCATTTTCAATAAAGTGAACTATTTCAAAAACGAAGAAAGTTTGTTTATTCGATATTAAAACCAGTTAATTGTACTAAAAACTAAAATAATTGAAATATTTGAATATATGCGGTAATCAATTGATAAATATACAACAATTCGCAAATTCTTGCAAATATTGAACAATTTTTAGTACAATTTTATTGGACAAAGATCCCAATGGAACCGGCAATAAAGAGTACAAAATCGTAAAGAATGTATGAGTTTAAGGGAGGCCTATGTCCAGCCGTAGTTGTGATAAATAAAGGCTGGATGATGATGATGATGAACCTGGTAACTCATGTAATGGTAAATTTAATGAATAACCAACAGAACACAACTGAATCTGAAGTTATCATCTAAAGTTTTATGTTATCTACAGTCTAGTCTATAAGAGCTGTACAGACTAATATTAAATACATTTTTTAAACTCTTAATTTTTCGAGTCCTTCGAACGATTTTACCGCAATCCCTTAGTTTCCTTGGTTGTACTTTCATAATAATGCATCTAGACTTTATGACTAGCAATATATTTGTATTATAGACTGAATAACCATTTTTGAACAAGAGAATTAAGAAAGTGTCAGTTAAGACACTTGTCGATCTGTCTAGCCAGTGTGGAAAGCTGGAGCCACACATGTCAAATAGTTGAATCATATTAACTCAAATCTCGCACTAAGACTTAAGGTAGTCCAACGGATCAATTCAATAGTAAACAACATTAGTAAACATAGAAAACTGCTATATTTGAAAGAAATCAGAATAACGAAGTAGACAGTTGGACAGTGATATAACTGGCACAGGTATGATCAATCACAGATACAAAATTCTTACCCAAATTCTGTATGAGTTAAAAGCAAAACTACCAAGAAACGAAGAAAAACCTCATAAAATAATAAAATATGTCGAGAAACGCTGGAAATAATTTTTAATAAGTGAGCATAGAACTTAACGCAATATCGTCTGTGCTCATGACAATAATATTTAAAAATAGAGATAAATATAGAAAGAAAGGAGATAAAGAAGACCAAAACAATTGTAGAGGTATAAATCTACTGAACACCGCACTTAAGCTTACCACAAAAGTCCTAATTAACAAAATCGATAAACATAACAACTTTATCAGATGAACAACAACGATTCAGATTATGAAGATCCTGCGTAGACGACGGATTTGTACTAAGAGAAATCACAGAAAAGGCCATCGAGTGCAATAAACAGCATATCTATGTTTTATGGACCTGACAATGGCTTTCAATCGCATCCAAGTCAAAGACGTCATACATCTACTGTATAAACGAAGCATACCAATCAATATTATACAAACCGTAAGAAAAATCTACTTCCTTAATTGAATACAGGCAAAGGTAAATGGAAAACTAACACAGTGGTTACCAGTTCAAAGCGGAGTCAGACAGTGTCTCACTTCTCTTTAATATAATAATGGACGAAATAATACAAGCAGTACGTAAAGGTCACGATTACAGAATGGGGAACAAATAAACCCAAATATTATGTTATGCAGACGACGCCGCATTAATCGCCGAGGAAGAAGACGAGCTCCAAAGATTGACACATAGCTTTAATACAACAGACAAGAAAAGCAAGGTTTAGATATCTGGGAATAGATATAATTAGTTACAGAGATGTTGAAGAACAAGTACGACAACAAAGCTTAAAAGCAAGTAAAGCGGCGGGATCTCTTAATGACACAATCTGGAAGAACAAACACCTAAGAGACAAGACACAAAAACAAGAATCTATAAAGCAGCAACAACAGATGAAAATGCTTCGACGAATATCAGGGAATAGTCTGTTGGATAGGAAGAGAAGCTAAAACATAAGAGCATGCAATATAGAAGACATGGATGGGTGAAAAAACGGAAACCATATTATAGAATGGTAGAAGATAGAACAGTACGAATAGCATGAGATAAGTCACCAAATGGCTTGAGTCTGCGTCGACTCTTGAAGATATTATGTTTAACAACATTTATAATGACAATAAGTTGCTGATAATGATAATGACTTTTTCATCATTCAAAACTGTTACTTCTTCATGATCGAAGAATAATTAAGATTAAGATGTTAAAAAAAGAAATAGCAGCTGATTAAGATTTAGTAAAGAAGTCAACGAACGCCAGAAGTAAATATTTAGAAGAAGAAGTTACAGTTTATATTATATAGGATATAATAGATTTCTTTATAATTAAACTTTCTTGGTTTTAAGAAAATATGTCAGACTGATAAATAAACATACTCTGAAAATGCTAATTCTACATTCCAACACAAAAACAACATTCACTTTTGTTAATGAGGTACCTGATGTAACTTTTTCCTATTTTTGCAAAGTCCACAACAAATTGGACCTACCTATAAGGAAATATAGTTAGTTTTCCACTAAATAATCCTTAGCTAGCGTTTATATTTTAAAATATTTTCTATTAGTAAAATCAAACATCAATAAATATTATTGGAAAACATAGTTACCAATCTATTCTACAATTCATCAATAAAAGGAATCGATATTTTGATGCTTTTTGTACACGCATTGAGGGTTTTTATAAATTTAGAATTGATATAATTTCAAATATATAGCTTAACGTACGAGAGGCAATCGATAACTACTGGTTTTCAACAAAAATACTTATTTTCAGTATATCGGCTGCTGAATCGTCAAACGGGCCATAGAAAACTCAATGGGAAATTCTAAACTGTTGAATTTTTCTACGAATTAAGCAAAATCCAAAATTTTGCAAAAATATAATACATTTGTGTAAAAGTTAGGCCACACGTGGGCTAGATTTATATAACATTCTGCGTTTGGTCACAATGAAGTTAGATATTAACAATATTTGAATTGTCAATATTTTATTTAATGACTTACTGTTAAAAAACAATAAAATTGATACAGTGTACTCTGTTAGGGGAAAGTAAGTACCAACAATCAAGATGTTTTATTGATGCAATAGTGCGCGTACTGGCAGTTCTTTATTTAGTGTAAGATATCCCAAGACCAACTCTAATTCATTTAACAATTCAAAGGAATTTGCATGGTTCCTTTTTTTTTTGTTTACTTTTTATTGTTATATTTATTTAATGAGTTTTCAGTACAAAATCTCAACAAGTTTCCACAAAATTCACAAATAACTCAACAAAATACTCATTCGGCGAAAATGAAAATACCTTTTAACATACACCCCTTTTAACATAACTTTAACACCTGTTAAAATATTAGTATTCTAATAAAAAATGATTGATTAATTGTCACTTATAAATACACAATTTTAAAAGATTTTAAAGCAAATTAAATAGCGCATTAAAAAGATATCCTGAAACCCTTAACTGAATCCAAAAACAATAAAGAAGAACAAACTGGATTTATAAAATACCTTGTGATTGTGACAATGTTTCAATGTGACCTCAAATATGTAAATATACTTGGTACAATAAACTTAAAGTACAATGGAAGGTTCTTTTGAAGTAAAAAGAGGAAAATTAAAGCAGCCCCTAATCGTAATTAATAAAGCAAATTATATAGCCAACTCATCTGCTCTATTAGCCTAACGGCAACTCTGTCCATAAATAACCCACTCTCCAAATCAAAACTGTTGAGCAATTGCAAAGATCTCATCAGCACCTAACAAAAGACAATACAGTGATTCTAATAAGGGTGCCGGGTCATGAAGGGAATGAACGAGCAAATTTGTTGGCAAACGAGGCTCGAGAGAAAACTCTGTAGGCTCAGAGCCATTTGTGGCATCACCAAAGATGCTGCATGAAACGAGATTCAGAAGTGGCTGATAAGGAATCATCAAAAGAAATGAGTCACTCAAGGGTAAATCCAGACTAAGTGAATAATCCAGAACATTGATAAAAACTCTCGGACTTTTGTCGTTTAAGAAAACACTTATACAAAATAGGTAAGGTGAATGAACCACAGTGAAGAAAATGCAAAATGGAAGGAGAAACTGTCATATACATCCACTGCAATGTGCTAAGTGATATGAGGCAGGAATTCACTGGACAACTGAGGACTGAACCAGAAAAGATCCTGAAACTACCAATGAGGAAACTGTTGACCTTCGTTGAAGGCACAGGACTAATTGGAGTTTAATGAAAAAAAAAACAGTATGGTACAAAGTTCTTATTATTAGGTACCAGAGATTAAAGTGTCACCTGAATTAAGAAGAGGATATCAACACCAATGATGTAATAGCGTTTCATCCGAAATCAATAAAAACACATAAGCACAGAAAGATCAGAATTTGATATCAATCGAGGTTATCAATCAAGACTTTCAGAAGCTGGTGCGTCTAAGACCTAGGCCAAATAAAGGTCAAAATTTCACTTTTACCGCCAATTGAAAAGAACAATAGTTACATCAATAATTTACAATTTTTTACTTCATGATTTTTTTGAAAACGATTTGCGGATTAAAATCGCCAACTTTAAAAATATTGTAATTTGGTATATACACTTCATCGAATTTATATAACGATGAACGTCATCGGCCTCATAGCCTGTGACGTTACATGATACCAACACAAAATATTTAGGTTGTGGGTGTGTTCTTTTTTAGAATCACTTTACAGAGTACACTGGCATTACAGTCACTAGACATATTTATTATATCCGCGTAGAAATAATATTTAAAAATTTCTATTATTGTTAACTTAAAGAAATACACAATAATATGTTTCATTTAATTTGTATAAATGCATTATAAAGCGTTTTTATCAAGAACATTTGTTCGGAACACACTGTAATTGTAATCGAACAAAGCTAAAATTTTGGCATAAATTGGTATCTAACACTTATTTGACAGTTGCGGTGTTGACACTTTTTGTACTTCATTATTTTGAATTTTAAAGTGAATATCTCTTGTTTTATATTTTTAACTATTTAATAAAATCTGTTCTTTTTAGAACAAAATTAGTGTGTTTTATTTCAAAAATGTCACGTAAGAATTTAAATAGTCGTTGTAAAGAGATGGTAATACTTTTGCAATAATTATGTAATCTATTTGATTTAAAATTGAGTCAGGATTTTTTTATACTTTGACAACTATGTCAACTTCGATCTCTGACGTAGATAATGACGTAAGTCGTTATCTAAATTAGATGAAGTATAAATGTGGTATACTTCCAAAATATTCAGTTTTCGGTCCAAAGTCTCTAATTACGACACAAAAAAATTCAGTTTCATATTACATTTTAACGTCAAAACCATTCGTTCTTATATAATTTGTAATTGTAAGCTATGTATTAGATAATTAAAGTTTTGCTGATTAAACTAAAACTGGGACTTAATTTGAGTAAGTACTTGTAGTTTCTTTGGCTTAAATTTTTATATTAATTCTCAAATAATGTTTAAAATGAATGTCTACACCTACACTATGTTTTTAATAGTTGTTGTAAATATAAAAACTTAAAATTAATACAATTGACTTAAAACTCACCAATAATTGATCTTGAAGACGTTCATTTCTCTCAGCAAGCGTACGTCTATCTTCGATTGGATCGACGATGTTTTCGTCGGTGCTAAGATCCTTGCTAACATCACCATTGACCATTTCATCGTCTTCATTATGGTCATTTTCTTCCAAATGACCTTTGGCTGCATTGGCGAGTTGCAGTTGTTTAAGTTCTTCCTCCTTACGACGAGCGTTTTCGACCTCTTCTTGAAGACGTTTAGTCTCGCTGTCCTTAGCCTCGACCTAAAAATGAATTAAAGGGATTAGTAACTTACATTAATAGCAGCTAGAATTCAAGAGTAAATAATCAAATATTTGATTTGGTTGCCATGTTACAGTAAAGTACTACAAATGTAACAAGCGACTTCTCTGTTGATCTGTTTAATCTCTTAAAAATTGGCAAAAACCTTCTTCTGACTGTGCAAATAATATACGTTCAGGTAGAAGAGATCTCATTTTATAAGAAATGCATTTCAATAATTTGACTAATTTATTTTCAAACTGTTCAAATGTTTTGGCAAAGATTTGGGTTCTATGAAAAATGTAATGTCAGCCTGTATGATTCAACTTAAAGTTATCTGCAATGTTGTAGTTTCTATCTTTCTCTAACTGTAGATTATGTCAGAGATCTACAAATTCGTCGCAGATTGGGGCGATGTAACTGGCAACAACGCCATTGTTCGGGTAGTTCTTTTATTGTATGCTATCTGTAAGTCAATTTCATTAGCGCGCTGACAGGGATTTCATAAAGCAGATCACATCATTGTGTGTAATTTAGTTTAATTCAATTTGGTTGAACCAAATGATAAATAATAAATATGAAACGTCGCAATGAACGAAACGTCACAATTTAACACGCGAAATAAAAACTATGATCGGAAATGTGTTTGAAGAACTTCCGAGCCAGAGAGCCAAAATGAATTTAGTATTTTGACAAAAGTTTCTGAAGCTAGTGTGTACAAAGTAATTAAAACACGATGAAACAAACGATAATAATACTTTGAAGGTTGAGACAAGATGAAGGAAACAAATAATATTGGATGATACAATCAAACAGGTCATTCGTCGTGTAGTACATGAATTTTATTTAAAAAAGTAGTTACCAATTTAAAAAAATTGCTTCTTCTCTTTAATATAATGAAAATATTCCAAAAATATTAAAATGTGTTTTGTTACGTACTCTACATGAAAAAAACTTTAGGTATTTAAAGAGTAAGAGGAATAGTACCCTTATTGAGAAAGAAGGAATCATTTTATGGCGCAGAAGGTATCTGAATCAAAAAGCAGTGTAATGTGTACGTAATACAAAAAAGTATACCGTGACAAAAATTTGGCAGGATTTGAAAGTGAAAAACGACAAACTTTCCAAGATGGTTTGTTCACAGGATTAAAAGCCCGATCTGGAAAGAGAAAACGCCTTATTTTTAGCCATATTGGTAGCGATTCAAGATTTATTGAAGTAGGTTTAAATACATTTGTTTCTAAAACGACTGGAGATTACCATATGGAAATGGATGCATGAAAAATGTTTTTCAGATAAGTATTCTGTTAAAAATCAAACCAGGATCTCTTAATATTATGGATAATGCTCCATATCACTACCGGTGTGTAGAACAATTACCAACCACTAAATGGAGAAAAGCCGAGATTTCAGATTTGCTTATTAAACAATAATTAAATTCAATTAATCAAATTTGAAAAATCGAATTACTAAACTTGGCACGGTCGCATAAAGATAAATAAATTAAATATGTAATAGATGAAATGGCGGGAAACGAGGCGTAATTGTATTTCGATTGCCACCATACCATTGTGAGTGAAAACCGACAGAACTTATATGGGCTCAAATAAAAAATGAAGTAGCAAGGAACATGTTACTTTCAAATTAAGTTATGTAAAAATCTGCTTAACCCTTTAACGGACAAGACGGTCCTGACCGTTGGTTAATTATCGGCATTCTGGGACAAGACGGTCATAGCAGTCGCTATTTGAATCGCTCTCAGAGTCAAGACGGTCCCGACCGACGATGAATATAAGTGTTTTCCTATCTATGAGAATGCGGTGTCTTATAAGAATACTTCTAATTTTGTGAGAATCCCACAGTAGTGCACGTGGTGGGAAATCGGTGTAAATCGGTATATGACGACACTCTATACGGCTATTACGACTATAACTCCCTATTTTCGTTCATGATTGCAAAGGTGGAACGTTTTTAACACAATAATACAATAAATAAGTTAAAAAAATGGAATTCGGTAAAAAACGAAGTCATCTGCATTTATCAGAAAGCAGTTGCAGTTCTGATGATAATGGGGGAAGTAATAAGGAACAAAATGCTAATTTATCTGGAAATAGCGACAGTTCAGATGATTATATTCCCAATACCAACAAAGATGAGAGTAGTGGTAAGTACAAAATATTTACATAATGTGTATATTCATAGATAGCAAATAACAAAATCCTATGTACATATAATATGTATATGTATAATTGGTGCAACACGAATATCACTTCTAGTAAAGTTATGCATGCATTTTCTGAATTATTTTATTTTATCAAATCAGACCTCAGATTTCACTGCCTGTCGCGTTACAATGACTAAGGTAGAGTTGGTTTTATGAAAAAAAAATTTGTGTTTCATTGAATATTGAATTTGTGTCTAACTTTTATTTATATTTTAGATAGTACTGATGATAATGGTGATGAACTAAGGCAATTACCAGCAATACAAAATTCCAGCAGTGATTCTGAAGAGATTGAAAATATAGATGAGAAAGTAAACAATGAGAAAAATTGGGTTGAAAATGTGATACCAATTCCCGAATTTAATTTCGATAGAGATTTAGCGGGTGTTAAACTTGATTTACCAGAAAATGTCACACCTGTTCAAATTTTTGAAATGCTTTGGACCGAGGAAATCATGAATATGATATTACAATCCACCAATAGATATGGCAACAAACTTACGAGAGAGTCCAGACCTCACAGAAAATATAGTAGAAAAAGTGCGTTGAAAAACGTGGACCTAACGGAGCTAAAAAAATTTTTGGGTCTAGTATGTTGCAAGGACAAATAAAAATGCCATCTATAAGAAAACTTTTTACGTATGATCCATTATACTATCATCCTATATTTTCTGCAACAATGAGTGGGCGACGATTCGAACAGATTTTAAGATATTTTAGTTGTGAGACAGAAAATAGAAACGGTAGGCTACATAAAGTAGAACAGTTACTAAATGGACTACTTACCAATTTCCAGAGGGCGGTATCTCCCGAAGAAAATATATGTTTGGACGAGTCGTTATTATTATTCAAAGGTAGATTAATTTTTCGACAATATATGAAGAGCAAGAGGGCCAAATATGGAATTAAATTCTATGAATTATGTACACCGGATGGCTTTGTCCTAAATATCGAAATTTATAGAGGTAAAGTTTTGACAGCATGTGATCGTGGTCGTGACCCTACTTCTCCACAACTCCATAATTTAGTTCTTCGACTGATTACCCCATATGTAAATAAAGGACACCACATATTCATGGATAATTTTTATAACAGTGTAGGCTTATGCAAAAAATTATTAGAGAGACGAACACATTGCACAGGAACCTTAAGTTCTTATAGACGAGACAATCCAAAAGTTGTAACTGGCACGAACCTAAGAAAAGGACAGTATATATGGAGGAGACAAGAAACCGTGTTTATGTATCAAAATGGAAGGATAATAGAGATGTCTGTAGTATATCCACTCGTTACCATCCGACATTGATAGAAACAACCAACAGATTTAACCAGCCCAAAGTAAAACCAAAAGATATAACTGAATATAATCACAATATGTCTGGCGTTGATTAATTTCATATTACTCATGTCCACGAAGGACCATTTGCTGGTATAAAGGTGTTGTTTCATTTGTTGGACGTAACAATTGCCAATGTCTATTTTATTTATCGAAAGGGAAAAGAAAACCGCCAAGAACGATGTATGAGTAGCTTAGATTTTAGAAATCATCTTATAAAAAGTTTTATTGGTGTACCTCTTGACCAGACTGATGGCAGAAGTTATGTAAAAGTGGGTCCTATACATGGAGGTAAACGTAAGAAAATGACTCGGAGGAATGATGAACAAATTAGGCATCCCCATTATCAAGAAATGATTCCTGTACCTGAAGGATATAGACGCAAGAATTATTATTTACGATGTCGTCAATGCTCTAAAAGTAAAATACGAAAAAAAACATTTTGCCGATGTAAAGATTGTAATGAAAATCCACCATTATGTCCAGGATTATGTTTTCAAAAATGGCACGAGAACTTAGACTAGCAAATAAGTTTTTTTATTTTGTTTTTTTTTCTTACAATTTCTTATACTGTGTGTTGTGTTTGTATTATGTTGTGTATTATTTTATTGAAATACCGTATTTAATTCATTTATTATTTGTAGTTTATGTTCAATAAATGCATTTTGGTAACATTTAATATGACGGTCATGACCGTCTTGTCCAAGAAGACCATTTGTGTAACTCTAATGGGACAAGACGGCTGTGACCGTCTTGTATTTTTTGTCTTCAATATGAGGTATTTTGTACTTTTTTGTCCCCATAGGTTAATTTTTAACCAATGTTATCACAGTACCGATAAATTTGCAAGTGTGTTTTGGTCATTGTCAAACATTTTTACGGTGTCCGCCAAAGGGTTAATAGTGCCGTCAGCAATTTGATCTCACAGTCCTGGTTAAAATGTATCGAGCATGTAGTGAAAGAATAATGTTATATACATTGATGAATGTATATGAGATTGGTCAATACCCGCATTCACTTTTTGTATTGTCGATTTATGGATTTATGTTTATGAAAACTGATAAACAGTTTTGTATATATGAGATGACAGAATGTATTTTTAGAATTTATTCAGTTTTGGAATTTTTAAGATAATATAAGTTTTATACAAATATAAAAAAAGTTTAAATAGATAATCAAATATTGTTGTCTGTCTGATATTATTTATCTTTGTCAAATAAAACAAAAATGAAATTAAAATTTTAATCAATCGCAAGTGGGCGGTCGTTATGGAAGAGCGCCGACTTTATCAATTACTTTCAATTTTGCAGTCAGTGAACCTCTAAATGTTATAATTCCATTGTGTCTATTTAGTGGCGTAAGTAATCAAAACGTCCTTTAATATCATTACTAGGAGTCAAAAAGCTTAACGCCGTCGACACAAACAATAACAAAACAGCTCAGAATATAACTGATCTGCTCTTTTTTATATAATATACCAGGTCTGCCCCCAAAGTACCTGAAAGTAGTTTGTAATTTTGCAATTATTTTTTCTTCATCTCGGACTCATGGTATCCTTTGAAGTAATTGTCATTAGACCTAGCAACACGCTTTCCTGAGTTTTTCAAATTACTACGGCAATTCTGAAATGCAAGATTTTTAAAGTATTTCATTCGCCATAAAGGTACGCGCACACTTGAACAAACCGGCAGGCAGTGGAATGCACCACGACGATCGGCGACTTTACCGCACACTTTACCAAAAACTTTGAATGGAATAGTTTCGTGATTAGTGGTTTTGGCAAAATAAAGTTTCTAAATGTTGTATTTTGTTTGATAAGTATTGATAAAATGTTTCTTGATGGTCGATCAATCAGGAAATATTTAACTCCACTGACTGAGCTGACGTGATTATACCGGTAAATGCTCGTTAAGTTATTTCATTTCGGGTTGTAGTTATGTGTTCTGTGGACACGAACAAAATGCAGCTATGTACGAACTGTACGAAACCAGCGGAGTTCTGTAACCATGAGTTTTGTCAAAAACTGTTAAAAAAGATTAGATGAATGTGCTGCTGCATTATCGTAAGTATAAAATTAGACGCCGCTCGCCAAAATGGGACCGTTTTCTTCTCACTGCACCACAGTTTTTCCAGGACATAAAATATAAAATGTTTTTTTAATTGTCAGACTCCTTAGAGAATATAAATGGTACAGGACAACTTTATAATCGACAAAAATAATCAGCATCCATCAAGCTCTGACAAAATCTTACATTTTGATGTATTTTGCGTTGTTTAGGGATCATAACTGTAAATCCAAATCTTCAATACTGATTGTTTAAGCATATTGTCATTATTAACGACCATTTCCAGCTTGTTTACACCGAATCGAGTCTTTTGCTGTTCTTTTTTGGAACAATTTTGGAATGAATTTGGCACACATTTTCAGTCTTAATTTTTAAAACACCAATTTTCGGAATTTCAAGATCGTTTCTAATTTGGACACAGTCAAATGACTATCTTCTTTAATTCCAAGTCCCATAATTTGATATTTTCCTTTGTTGTGCCAGAAGATCGACCAGAACTCGGGTTCTGTCAACTGTAAACCGATGTGCGCCATATTTAAATCAATTGAACATAATTTTATTTGTGTTTTACTCATAAATTTCATCACCAAAGAACTTTTGCACCATTGGAATAGTTGCTGCACAACAATTCCGAATTTAAAGCAAAACTCAAGCCAATTCGTTTATCGCATCTCTTTACCATTTTCAGTGATAACAAAATAAGACAAATATAAAAAAGGCAATGTAAACAAAAGTATGCTATGCCGAACTAGAAAGAGATTCTAGTCGTACACTTTTGGGATAGATCTCTTACTCCAGGACTAACAAATGCGTACTATAAATGCCTACAGGAACAATACAAACATTAGGCCTACGAAGGGAAAGTCTCAATGTATAAAGCCTGCCAAAAATACTTTCCCTAAATTGACCACTGAAAATTATAAAAGAGTAGCTACATCAGAATTATCATTCTGATTATCATATTAAAAAAAACAACCGTTATAATTATATCGATATATGTATATCTTACTTCTTGTTGGATACGTAGAACCTCTTCTTGTTTGGCCCTGATCTCCTCTTCCAATTTTTGCCTCTCGGCAGCTTCCATGTTCTTGCTCTCTTCTAAACGCTCCATCATGGACTGTAACTCGTTCTGTCTCTTTTCCATTTCTTCTTTGGCAGCCTGCAATTGTTTCAATTGTTCCTCCAATCGTCTTATCATCTCTTGAGCTTCCTGGTAGTTGGCTTGGCTCCTTTCCATCTCTTCTTGCATGGCTAAAAAATTATTACAAATAAATGATACCAATATTGTTTAAACAAAAAAAGAAAAAATGGGCTATTATATTGGAAATGATACAAAAAGTAAACATAATTATGTATTGAAAGCATTACCTTTGATTCTATCTTCATACTCTTGTTGTTTCTTTTCGGCCCTTTCTCTTGCCGCTATTTCAGACTGGAGCTTTTCTTTTTGCTGTTGTTTTGCCATCTTTTCTTCGCGCGCTTGCGCTTTCATTTGTTGCACATCAATGGTATCAGGTTTACGTCTGCGCATGTACAATTCGTGGTTGCCCATGCAAAGAGCGAGAATTCTCTTGTTGATGCGCACACGTGGAGCAAAGAAAACGAAATCGGGTGCTTTTTTGTCGATGGGTTTGATGATGAACTTACGATCGTTGAAAGAGATGTTGCGGATTTCCGACCAAGGAAAACCGATTTTAGGTGTAAGTCTGCAATTTAAAAAATAACGTAAGGCTTTTTAAGGTTATCTATTCCGATAGTTTTAAACGATGTGTTTTCTATGATCAATTCAACTGTCAACAGCGGTAAAAACTAAGGTAAATTAAAAAAAAATATTGTATAAGTCGACAGACTTTATTCTGGAGATATTAACAGAAAAGCAAATACTCACACCAATCCTTGAAAAAAGATTACAGCTTAAATACTGGTAGTATACTAACAGTAGTAGTTGTAGTAAGCGAATAGAATATTAGATACAAGCACAGCTCGGTAAGCATGATTTGCTATGCAGATGACGCAACAATATTGGCTGGAATAGAACATTATCTGCAAGGGCAAGTGGGCAAGTTAACCGGTTCTACCACATTGCAAAACCGTATTTGATCATACAGAAGTACAAATTCAAGAACATGCCATTTGCATGATACGATATAAAACATAGTAATTGAAGGCAAAACTTAAGTGAGACTTTCGCACTTAAGAGTGCAAAGTAAAACATCAGATAAAGCTGCAATTGTGTCGAGCTGCAACACAGCTAAAAAATCAAAACAAAAACACATTAAGGTCGGTTGGGATGAAAACTTTGAGAAATATAGCGAACAAGACTCAAGGATAGACTAAGGAACGAAGAAATCAGAAATGCATGAGGAATGGACGACATAATTAGATAAGAGAGATATCGATGTTGTTTTTGGTATAAGTCCTTCTTAAACACAAACCAACTAGCTGTCGGCTATAAAAAAGAGAAAGAGTGGGCATTATAAATCTAGGTTTATGATACACTGCGAAAGGTATTTACGTGTGTCATAAACAGGAGAATGGATCACTTCACAGAGCAAATCCTACAGAGAATACTAGACCGTATTATTCAGACCAAAACGATACATTATTGCCAGTTATATAATACAAATATTAGCTATTCGTAAAATGATATCAAGCCAGTACGAACTCCTCAGAAGCGCACGTGAATACAAACCCAACTAACAGATTCCTTCCAGATAATTAAAGGGATAAAACAGGAAGATTGACTGGCTCCGACTCTGTTCAACATTTATATAAAACCAGCTGACCCGGCGAAATTCGTACCGCCTTCGAATCAAATAGATAAAAGTTCAATAACTAAAAAACCAAAGGAAAATACTTCAACATAATTATTATATAACAAAATTGAATCAATTTAATGATTTCTAACAAACAATATTTTTGTTTTTTTTTTGCGGTGCGTAAATATACAACGATTGAGGATCGATTAAGGTTGAAATGTCGGTTGGTAGTTTGGATTTCTTTCCTAGGTGGTGCTAACAGTTATCGTCCCGGACAAACTGCGTTTCCGTGTGACGTGTCCTCCTAGCCTTTCATTAGATTAGATGTGTTACAAGAAAAATATCACTAAACTCAAAAAATATATTTTTTAATAAGTCTAAGCAGATTATGGTGTACCCGGGTTAGTAAACTTGTTGGACCGAATCCGTAAGAGATATCAAAGAACTGTATGTGGAATTTGAGGGAAATGCCAAAGAAATAAGTTTAATTATCAACATAAATCAACTAAAGCTCTAATACAAACAAGAAAACAACGAACAGACTACACTGGGCCGGTGACCTTATAAGAATGAATAATAACTGAACACTTATGCTTATGAAGGAATGCTTGGGTAGCGACTGGTGGAGGAAGCTAGAGTCCGATTTGGGCAATAGTGCCATTGGAGGAAGAGGGAGTGCCAGAGAGCGAGTGAGAGAGTTCTTAAATACACTCGCCATCGACCATTAGGAAGACCTCCCAAAAGGTGGAGGTCTTCACCCCAAAACTTGCAATTTACATTTATGAGGGCCGTGAGACTTCGAAAGCTGTACGAGTCCAAATGAAGCCTTTATAATAACCATTTATGGGATTATACATAGCTACATTTAAAGATTAAGATTAAAGCGCAAACTGACTAAAATCAAATAAAAGCAAACCTATCTAGTAAGAGATTCACTGTCCCTTGTCCTTAAAGGACACTAAATGACGCCTAATACGTTCATTAAAATATCTAAAAACGTCTATAATGTAAAAATAAGTTGCAACTTTTTACTTAACAAAAGTATAACAGAAATGTGATAAAGAATGTCATAGGTTTGCTTCTATATGGTTGATCTTGATGTCTGCTGTTCAAAGTAATTTTAACCTACTGGTATTGTTGGTGAGAACGTTGAAAACATTAACATCAATTCACATAAAGATATTTTACACTTAAAGCCACACATCTATTGCGAAATTAGTACAGAAAGGTACAGGAACACCTACACAACACATTCATCTACACATACATACATAAATATCTGCATTGGCAAAAATGGAGTAATATTACCACAAAATGCTATTGTCATAAAAAGGGAAAAGAGATTAATGATGCCACATGTTCAAAATATCTTTCGATTATTAATGATACGTTAGATTAATAAATGGTTCAAGTCAAAATTTAAATTGTTTAGTTATATGTCATAAATAACGTATCATATCAATTACGGCATCACATTAAACTTACAAAAGCCGATGTAATAAATCAATTACTATACAACGTTTTACCAAACAAGGATTTTGTGAACCGATGGCAATCTTAAGTTCAGAACCAGTAGAATCCAGAAGCATCTAGATGTAAATCCAGTAATCAAGGGCTTAATGCTAAAAAGTTGGTAAAACAAGTGAATTCCGTTAATGACAGTCGAAATTAAGTGATTGCAAGAACAATTGCAGTAAAACATTCGGTATTACCACAAAAGACAGTTCCAAAAAATCGAAGTTATATCCTCTGAAAATTGACCACACTGCGATCAACCACAAACATATGTTAAAAGAAACTAAATGTGTACATAACATTGAGCTGAGCTGATGAAAAAATTTTAGATTGTTGTCTATACATTAAGTTACACTGCAACCAATTAGATACATCCTTCTTAAAAAGTTAGATAATCGTCAAAAAATAAACAAATAATAAAATGCGGATGCTTAATTTGTGGTTTTACTTGCAGAGGATATAAAGACAGTATTTGCGATTTTATTTGAAATAAACAGTATATTATGTATTATATTACGTATTACTTACTGGTCATCTTTTTCGTAAATGTTAAGTCCAAGCGCATCGACACCTAAGTACAATTCTGTTTGCTTTTTGTTACGTATTTCGAAATAGTTAACTCCGTACATTTCTAGATCTTGAGCTATCTTCAAGTACTCCATCATGGCATCTTCTCTTAACATACCTCTATGTTCTTTCCACCAGGTCATGATGCTATTCTCCCATTCATCTTTTGACATCTTATGTTGATCCATTACCCTAAAAGCATTTAGTATAATTATTAAGTAAATCTTAATGTGACTTGTTGCTAAAATGTTGTTTCTAAAATGAAATTATTTTTTTATTTGACCATACAAAATACTATACGCGATAGCCTGATATGAACTTCCTTAAAATTAAATATCTTTTAATTGTTTCCGTTTGAACAAAGATGTTAAAGGTCGGCACAGGATCACAAATGGCCCCTTTTATTATTGGCTTTTAGCTGCTCCCAGTAAAAATGTCATAATATTTTTTTATTATGTAATAGGTACCTATCTTTAATAACTATCTTCTAACAGACCTTTCGAAACATTAAGGGGAGACTGAAAGGAATGTATATTATCTCCTATTTTGTTCAATATTTATGTTACTGTTTCAACTATAGTAGAAGCCACAGTGAGAATGCAGTTCAGGTTAAGATAGGCAATGTATTTCTTACGGGAGAAAGGCCGACCACGTTGCCGGTTTGCTCCGAGCGGATATACTGTCGAATTAAACAATAACAAGAACAAAAATACTATAAAAAAAGTAAAATATATCAAAAACTCATTGTCGATAGCTTATTTATATTTATCAATTTTCGATAGCTTCCATTATAAAGATCGTTATAAAGTCACTAGGAGAAGCGAATCAGTTTTAATTCCCATTGTCCACGCCAAACAAACATGTCTTTTTGTCGATTCGGGCACTGACCATTAGACCAAAAACTTGTTGGCAAAAACTATGAAAGCTTAGTTCTAATTCATTTTCGCAAGCGGATAAAAGTACCTACATCATGGAGCCGTTGCCAGTATCTGTCGTGAATTTCAAACGTGAAGGTTATGACTCTCAGTGTACAAGTAAAACGTGTGGTGTTAAATGTATTGAACTATCATCTGAACTTAAAAAAAATGATGACAGCTTGACTAATACTGTGGAAAAAGTTTCCACAGGTAAAAAGGAACTATTTCGTAAAATGCAACTTGTAAAACCAACCTAAGCAGTCAGTATTTCTATTGATTTTTCATATCATGACCCAGAAATTTCAGCTTTTTGTTTGAATTGTGTTCAAAATCTCTTTTCTTATTCTTTTAAGGACTTCCATGTTAGTGGTGGGATTAATCCAAAAAATGACCAGAATGCGCCTGCAGTTCGACATTTCACATGCCTACAGTTTCTACTTGTGGTTAGTAAACAAGACCTCGGCGCTATACAACTAATTGTCAATAATGAACCGATAACAAAAGTTAACAATTTTAAATACCTAGGATGTTGGATAAACGAGAAACTAAATTCGGATGAAGAAATTAAAACTCGTATAGAAATTGCAAGAGGAGCATTTATGGAACTTAGATCTATTCTGAGCAATTATCGGCTGAACTTAAAGCTGAGAATTAATTTTCTAAAATGTTATGTGTATCCTGTATTACTGTAAGGATGTGAAACCTGGATTATGAAGGTTAACATGATGGACAAATTAGAAACCTTCGAGATGTGGTTATATCGTAGAATGCTCAAAATATCATGGGTTCAACACATTTCAAACAGAGAAGACTTGAACAGAGTAGGTCAAGGTGAAGGTGACTTAATAAAGATAAAAAAAGAGAAAACTCGAATATCTGGGGCATATAATGAGAGGAAACAGATACAGGATAATACAGTTGATACCCAACGGAAAGATCGACGGAAAAAGAGGAATTGGTAAGAAGAAATACTCATGGTCTCCTAAATCTTCGTCAATAGACTGGCTAATCAGCAGATGAATTATTACATGCCGCGCAAGATCGAGAACGATATCGGCAAATCGTCATGGAAACTACTCATGCCTAAAACTTGGGCACGGTACTCAAAGAAGAAGACAGTTTCTTCATCAATTATTGAGAAAGGGCTCAAGCCTCCACTTCGTAGAACAAAAATGAAAACGCATCACCCTTTATCTTCATTATAGACATTAACATAGCCCTTGGCAGGTTGCAATTAGTTTTCAAGCTCAGATATCAGCTTATACAGATAGTAACCATTTTAATAAATATCGTTTTAGATTATGCTATACCCTGCTTTATTTCTACAGAATGATGCCAATAATTGTTGATATTGCTGCTATGATTTGTATGTATGTTTTAATTCGTTTAATCAGTAGGTGAATATTAACTATTACTGCCATCATCGTTTGCACACTCTTTGTAAAACGTGTAGAACTCTAATTATTTTTCTTCCTTTTTTGCTACACTTCCAAAACTTTCCAATCTTCCTTCTTTTTGTTCGTTTTGTTCTTTAAAAAAAATTGCTACCACAGTTTGCATACGAGTGTCTAGTTTGTCTTTCTAGTGACCTAGTACCTTATTATCTTATAATATATTGTTCTTACCTTTGAGGTAACAACCGATCGTTGGCTAGGAATCCTGGCGTGTGAACAGATTTATCGTAATCTCCATGCCTGGCTTGCACAGCGTACGAAGCCAGAAGGACGGACGTTTCGGGCGGACAGTAGATTTCATCGGAGAGAATAGAGTTCTTCACTTGCAGGTAGAATAAGCGTAAAGTGATATCTTGGATGAGTTCTTCGGCGACGTCTTCGGGGTAGAATTTGGCACGGAATTTGAATTGGAATGGGTTTTCTTTTTTCAAATCTTGACTCAGCACCTATAAAAAAAGAATACTAATTATGCGACGAATCATTTTAAAAATATTGAAATAAATTTAATCATAAAGTATATAGATATGGACTCGAAGGTCGTTTTGCATGGCGTTTTTAACTATTATAAATTCGTTATATTTATACAAATTTATAATACTTTATGTGCCCCCTAATTACGGTCCTGTTAGTCGCGAGACAAAGTTCTTTTCATCGCTAATATTCCATTAACCGTTCTATCGATGTCTTCGTCGCGATATCTTTCTAGAATTTCGTGTTATCGCCACACACCGTCACCTGCTAGCTGTTTCTAGAACAACTGGTTTTATTATATAAGCCACTACGGCGGCCTTCGATGAATCAGTTTTAGCCAAGTTTTATGAGATTTGGAGAAGTATTTATTTTGTAAAGAGATACCAATGATAGCTCATGTAATTATAATTTATGATATTTGTAACTTAGTAAGTTGTTGTAGTTGGTGGGCTAGAATGTTGGTTGAACCACGTTTGCTTCACTTGATCCCTAAACCCACAGAAAACGTAACAATACTTTAAAGACTATCCAAGTACTATCCAAAAAGGATTCTTTGAATGGACAAATTATTATAATTGTAGTAGATTTAGTGTATCTGGTCCAAGTTAGAATAAATGTAGTAATTGAACAGTAACAGTACAGAACAAAAATTACAAAAAGTGAGATTTGAATAACGAATCTCACTTTGAAAACGAAAATAAAAATTTAACTAAAGGTTAACTGTTATAAACTAAAAGCATGAATAATAAAAAAGACGACAAAAGACGTCAAAATCACAGTAGAAGAAACAAAAATAAAATAAGTAACTAAATACATAATACATTAGAAACAATCGCAACACTAGGCAGATAAGATGATACTCAGGAATTAAAAATAACTTGGGGAAGGTTTACTTGGGCAGCATTTGGTAAACTCAATTAATTTGTCTTTAACCAATTTGTACTAAATGTTCTCCCATACAACTCTCAAACACGTTTACCAAGCACAATTTAGAAAACATAGTGCACCTATATATAACGTGATGTACAAAAACAAATAATGAATGTCAAAGTGTCAGATAGAAAAATAAATAGTTTCCACTTGTTCGATCCTAATTTTATGTTTAACCTTGAGTGGACCGCTTTTAGTTTAAAAACACGTTTTTTATTTCACGCGGTAAAAAATAGTAGGTTTGCACTGAAAACAGGTGAGTTACCATAGAAACATCAAACTAGCAACATCAGTCAGAAAAAATATATACATTGTCACATTTTTACGAAGTTTTACGTTTCGCTTAGCGTTGTTGGGTGCTGATACAAATAAATGCAGTTTCGCAAATAAATAAACTTCAAATAGTCATTTTAATGTGAATTTTCCTACAGCCGATCCAATCGACAACAAAGATAGGACATCACAAAAAGTGCTCAAACGCCCGTTGGCTTATTACAGTCCTCCAACAAAAAGGGCGAGAGCAAACATTGGTCTTCGAGCCAGATTGGTCTACTTCGTCTGGATTTTAGCACCCAAAGAAAACATCGCTTCGTCTGAATTTGGTACCTACAGCTTGCAGCATCGAGAAATAAAGGTTAGAATATTTATTCACATACTTTAATCTTGCTTTGAGAGTACATAATTTATTGGCATATGGTTTGGTTTTAATTAATATTCTATTCACTTTATAAGATAATACATATACTATAAGCAGCCTCCCATAGCAGCACCAATCGAAAGGAATGTCGTTTATTTATAATATAATTAACGCATTTTTAAATTAAATTTATTTATAATAAAGACATTCCAAGCATTATCAACATTCGGCCCAACATAGCCATACCACAATCGTTACACCTAACTCATACCTTCATTTGCAACCTCTTATTTTTTACTGCTTACTTATTTACCTATGCTTACTGCATTTAATTGATCAATGTATTTATCATATTAATTAGTATATTCCAAAATACATTAACCTTATAACCGTCTCTTAAACCTATTAGCTTAAATAAATTCATAAAAATGGCTAATGCTGAAAGCCTTAAACACCTTGTAGCTCGTCGTGGCACTATTAAAGCGACAATGACTCGTTTTAACAATTTTCTTGAAAAATGTGGAACTCCTTTGTCTGGCACAGTCAGTCTTGAATTGCAAACGCGTCTGGAGGCTTTAAAAATGTCAGTTGTTGAGTTTGAAAAAGTACAGTGTGACATTGAACGTATTTGTCTGTTTGATACAACCCCTAACCTCGGTAATCAAGATGATGAACGAGAAGAGTTCGAAAGCAAATATTATGCCTCAGTAGCTAAAGCGACATTACTTCTCAAACAAACAGCAGGAATGTCAACGGATCAGCCACCCAGGTCATCTTCGTCAGTGCTCAACTCTCATCGTCTTAATTCATATTTACCACCTATTCCATTACCCCTATATTCTGGATCCTACGAAACGTGGACAAATTTCAAAGAAACCTTTGAGTCACTTATTGACAACAATCCTACTATTCATAAGATCGAAAAATTTTATTATCTTAAATCCAGTTTAAAGGGAGAAGCCGCTCAGATTATTGGAGCACTATCCGCAACCGAAGCAAATTATGAAACGGCCTGGCATCTACTGTGCGACCGTTATGAAAACAAAAGAGCGATTATTCATGCTCACGTTAAATCCATCTTCGAGCTAAGTCCTACTAAAGAAGAGTCGTCTCATTCGCTGAGGAAACTTTTAGACACCTTCGTCAACCATTTTAAATCTTTAGAAAACTTAGGGGAACACGTCTTCGAGTGGAGTACGATTCTAATATATCTCTTAACATCTAAAATTGACATCAATTCTCGAAAGGAATGGGAAAGGGTATCAACAGGAAATGAATCACCCGATGTGCAACATTTCCTAAAATTTTTGTCGGAAAGATGTAAATTTTTAGAATCAGTGGAAACAAAATTCCACCAAAAGATATCTCATAAAAGAGATGAGCCTAACATCAAGGCATCTTACAAATCTTCAACTCTTACCACCTTAACTCAAGCGCCATCAAGGTGCAGTCTATGCTCAGACAACCATTTTATCTACTCTTGCTCTAAGTTTCGTACCATGCCGATACCAGACCGATTTGCTAAAGTAAAGGAACTTCATCTGTGCACAAATTGCTTAAGAGCCGGACATAAAACTTTAGAATGTAAATCTAGCTACTCCTGTAAGACATGTCAAAATAAACACCACACTCTTTTACATAGAACTCAATCTGAGTCGCAAAATCATCATTTTAAAAACAATGTATCTACCACATCTAATTCTCAGCAATCTCATCAAAATAATCCTAGCACTTCTAGAGAACCACAGGCATCCTGTAACTTATATTCATTTAATCAAAATCCCAATTCATTCATACTGTTAGCTACGGCTGTAGTAAAAACATTTGACAAAAATCGACAACCCCTACAGGCCAGAGCCATCCTAGACAGTGGAAGCCAATCAAATTTTATTACTCAAGAACTATTTGAGAAACTAAATCTTCCATATGAACATGTTAACCTACCTATAACGGGTATAAATCGCGTTACAACGTCACTTACCAAGCGTGTAAAATTAGAAGTAAAATCTCTAAACGGAGACTTCACTTTCAAAATGTCTGCTCTCGTAATTAATCATATAACCGACCTAACACCTCAGCATTCAATCAATCCGTCTTATATTAACATACCCAACAATATCACATTAGCTGACCCACAGTTCTATGATCCTTCTGAAGTACACCTACTCATCGGTGCAGGAGTATTCTTTAACCTCATGGGTTCTGGACAAATAAAAGGTAATAAAGGTCAACCATTTTTACAACAAACTAAATTGGGTTGGGTAATTAGTGGCCCAATTCCTGCACAATTTTATTGCTACCATTCTAATCCCAGTTCTTGCTTTCTTTTATCGGCTGATCCTCTTCAGGAGAGTATCGAAAAATTCTGGAAAATTGAAGAGAACTATATCACGATCCCTTCTAAATACACTAAGGAAGAAGAAGAATGTGAACTCCATTTTCAATCTACCACAATTCGGGACGACACTGGACGTTTTCAAGTGAGTCTTCCTCTTAAACCTCAAATTTCACAACTGGGCGATTCTTACGACATAGCTCTTAAACGATTCCTATCAATAGAAAGAAAGCTACAGAAAAATCCCATTCTAAAACAAGCCTATGTCGAATTTATGTCACAGTACATCGAACTTGGACACATGTCTAAAATTTCGGGTTTAGAACCTGATCTTTCTCCTTCCTATTATTTGCCTCATCATGCTGTCGAAAAGAATGATAGTCTTACCACTAAAACTCGTATCGTTTTTGATGCCTCGTGTCCCACTTCTACCGGCATATCACTAAATCATACACTCAAGGTGGGCCCTGTTGTTCAAAGCGATCTCTTTTCCATATTGCTACGATTCAGACAGCACAACTTCGTATTTACCGGTGACATTGCCAAAATGTATCGCCAAGTGTTGGTAGACCCAACACAGCGTAATCTTCAACGCGTGATATGGCGAAATGATCCTTCCCAGAAAATTAACATTTATCAGTTAAACACCGTGACATACGGCTTGGCAAGTTCATCATATTTAGCCACTAGATGCTTAAAGGAAATTTTCTATACATTCTTCTGCTACATTTCCTGAAGAAAGTCGTAAGCTCAACCTAGATACGTATGTCGATGATGTGGTGACCGGTGCTTCAACTGAACAAGGCTTGATTGCTCTTCGTCGAAACTTAACATCAATATTAAGTTCCTATGGCTTCAATCTAAGGCAATTTTCATCAAACAGTATGGCTCTACTATCAGATATAAATGTAGATGATCACAAAGAAGAATATATAATAACCGATTCACCAAACAGTAAAACTCTTGGCATATCTTGGAATTCCTCAACTGATTCATTTATCTACAGCACAAAGATAAAACCGAACCCATACAGTATTACAAAAAGGACAATTCTATCAACCACAGCTTCTATT